TAGCTAGCTAGCTAGCTGGCTAGCTGGGTCTATGTCTCTACCAATCTATCTTTGTTTCTTGGAACATAGCAAGATGCATACAGGCCAGGAAGGCCGTCGCGTAATGCGCTTCCGCCGAGGTGAACTTTGCGCTTCGGCGTGGGGGCCGGGTGCTGCTGGCCGACGAGATGGGCCTGGGCAAAACAGCCCAGGCCAGGCGCGGGCCAGGTAGCTGCCAGCTAGCAGGTAGCTTCGAGTTGCGCTCTGCCGGTTTCTGCAAGCTGCTTCGACGCCCAGGCCCTGACACTGTGCTCCCAATTTCCAAGCGACTTCCCATTGCTCGTGGCCCCTTGTCAGATGAGGCCTCGCAGAGAAGTCGATTCTGCAATTTTTGAGTGTTTTTTTGGTGTTTTGGGTTTTCACTGGCCCGGGGGCTGAGGTTTGCCCGTCCTCCTTGCGTGGGAATTGGCGAGAAGAGGTGAAGCAGCCTGAGCAGACTAGACGCTGGACTCACAGCATCTGACTGTCTGACTCAAGTATTCGTGGGATCGAGCATGCTTTGCGTATCTTTGCGTCCCTGCCTGGGCCTGGACCCGGAAGGCCTCGCGGTGGCTGCCGTCATCGATCGTGTCAAACCCGGCGCGGAGCTGAGACTGTTAACATCTGTTAACTGTTAGACGCTTCGGCCGTAGAAGCTACATCTCGGCACTCGTGAGGCATCTTGTAACCCTCAGGTTTCATAAAAGCAGCGCCCCGTTCGTCGCGACTGCATCCCGGGTATGCCAGTAGCGCCCTTCCAGGATCGTCACATCCAGGTGGTGCGGAAGGCACCGGCAGGGGCTGGTGCAAAGCTGCATATGCTGCTTCCTGCCTCGGGAAGGGCCAGACCAGACTTGAAGGGAGGGGCTGGTTCGCTCAGCTTGACTTGGCCCCACCCATCCCGACATGAGTCCCTCTGCCTGCAGGGCTCAGACAAGCTTCGCCGCGAGGCCGGAGAAGCGCTGCCATTGGGGTTCTCACATTCAGCGGGCTAGCTTGCCGGCTTCGGGGCAGAGATTCGCATTGCTGGCACAGTCTTGTGCTGGCCCCGTCCCCTTAATCCGCTGGAGTCATTATGAAATCAGCTTGGTACCCTGCTTCTTGGATCTTCTTGGTGGATTCCGTGCACATTTTGGGCTTGGACTGGATCTGGCACTCTTTAGGGCCTGAATGCTTGCGCCAGGGATGTTCAAGTACCGCCATTCTGTTGCTACCTGTCTCAAAGCCTGGCAGGCACGGGTGGTGATTGTCAGCTACGACCTGATAGCTCAGCAGGAGCTGCGGTTCACAAAGCTGAGTTTGCATGTTTCTCTCGCGGTCATGCGCAGGCTGCAGTTGGTTCGCCGCAAGTGAGGGTATACGGCGCATCTAAGAAGACATCTTCTTGTCCTGTCTGCACCAAGCAGATCTGTGCCAAAAGATGTTGGTTATATGCTTGAATTTACTCTTCCGGATTCGCTGGGCTTTGGTTGCCCAGTCGGGATGCCGTCGCAACGTGAGCAGGAAGCCTTTCAGCAGTCGGCCCACGGCAAGAAGTACCGTGTGGTCATTTGTGACGAAGCCACCCAGCACAAAATAGGGAAGTTCCTGTCCGACTAGCAAATCAGCTCTGATTTCGCATCTGAGGCTCATTTCCTCAAGACGCCGTCGTCTCAGCGATCCAAGGCGGGGACTGCGAGGGGGCACCCTAAGAACACAAGCTTCTTAGGATTGTATCTTATGCCACTGTGTGCGACATTCTTCACCCTTCTCACTGCGGGGTTTCGCGCACAAATAAACTCACCTTCCCTGTGCCAGCTGCGCACTTGCCACATCCACAGTAAAGGGCCTCAAGACAGTATGCACCAACACGAGTGTCAACGACCTCCGCGTGACATGGAATGGGATGGAATCGCCGGTTCGCCAGGCGCTTCGCCCGATCCTCCAGGAGACTCGGCGATGTGCCCTCCTCACGGGAACGCCTGCCCTGGCGAAGGTGCTTCGCCAGTGCTCCATCTGGGTGGTTCCCTCTGTAGACCTGGGAAAGGGGAGACCGGAGAAGGAAGGCTTTCTCAAAAGCCAGGCCCAGACCCCCCCAGGTTGGAAGGTAACCTGGGAGAGCCTTTGAGACCGGAGAAGGAAGGCCCTTTAGAGCCAGGCCCAGACGCCCCCAGGATTGTTGGAAGCGTAGCGATAGACCCCATGATGGGTCACATTTCGGGAGCAGCCACGAGGCCTCAGAGCTCTACTCGCTTTTAGACTGCCCCGGACTCAGACTCTTCAGGCTTTCCCTTTGAAGCATGTGGTGATCGTTCCCCTTTATTGTTGAAGTGGGCCTTTCCTTTGGCATCACCGGACACGCTCAATCCTTGCGATTCCTTGCTCCCATGCCCGTGCCGGCACTACGTGACATGAAAGCCGTGATGCTCGGGCAGGGACACGGTAGTCGAAGCGTTGGTCTGGTTGGAAGGCCTGCTGCCGGGCGTGCTGCCGACTCACAACGAGTTCTGCAAAAGGTATTGTGACCTGGCAAGCAGAGCCACGTCCCCACAGCCGGCATGATCCCAGCTCGAGGCAATGAGAAGACGCTGCGGCTTGGCAAGCGGCATGTGAAGCAGTGGGATGCTTGCCGTACATTGGAAACTTTGCCCTTGCCGGCTCCAGGGTTCCTGTGGCACAAAGCTGGCACAGCTTTGCGTCTGGAGTGCGATCAGGATGTCACATGATGGAAGAGGTGAGTTTAGCCAGTGTGAAAGCGAAGTCTTCTGTGCAGCTGATGCTTGGCCCATAGACACCAACTGCACCAACTGCGCATAACTGCTGAAATCTGCCCCAGCACAGCGGAAGCTTTGGGTTTCAACGACTTGCTGTGTCCATGGCAAGGAAGGCTGTCGCCTGGGAGACGCCTCTTGGCCTGGCCTGGCCTTGCTCGTGTTCCCCTCCCTGTGCTGTGGACGTAAGACCTCAAGACCTCTGTAGACTGGATTCGGCACCGTGATTTGAGGAGCTCTACGCAGTCCTCGATGCTGTCATGGTCCGACGCTTCAAGAAGGCAGCTTGCAGCGCAATCATGCTCGTGCGGTGGGCACGTAAGTAGGTAGGCAGGCGGGCCGGGTAGCAGAAGCCGCAGCAGCTGCAGAAGCAGTAGTAGCTGTAGCAGCAATAGCAGCCCATGAGCCGGAACAGGGGCAAGGGGAATGAACAGGATATCTTACAGAAGCTCACAGCTTTGGTTCGAGCCTGACTACACCCTTTAGCCGAGGGCATTGGGAATGCATCATCATTGGGAATGTTGGGTTGCCCGTGGCGGAGAGGGGCTTTCGCTCTCGGGCCCCAGGAGGTGCTGAGCCAGCTCCCGGCGAAGCGCCGGCAGCGCGTGGTCTTGGCCGCCCGGCCGCAGGCTTCCGCACGCGCCGCCGCGTCGCTTCCTAAACTCGGCGATGCTGTTAAGCTGTCCCCCCCGCGTCCCGAAGCCTCCAGCTTTGGCGATGTCACGCGATGTCCTCCGCCGGGCCGGGCTTCTCAGCCTAGGACAGGCTGAGCAATGAGCAAGGCGCTTGCGTCTACGCTTCAGGGCAGCATGGTGGAGCCCTGTCTCTCAGATTCCCACGGTTTTCCCTTCTTCAAGGGCTTACTCCAAAGAAAGACATGCGCCTTTGTCTTGCGCTCTTGTAACAAATGCAGTTCGCTGTGCGATCATGCAGGTGTGCTGAAAGAGCTTCGGGAGAAAATGAGCACCTTCGGTCGTGGCTCGACAGAGATTCGGCGTGTAAGCAGCGTCTCTCCACTTCCGACAAATCAGGTCAGCCTGAAGAAGGAGATCTCCAGGCTTCCATGTCTGACATCGGAAAGTAGAAAACCTGATGGACAGGGCTCAGTGTTGAGCCGTGGCCGCACGCCGCACACGTGGCAGGGCGGCAAGAATGGTGCCGCTGCTACGGAGCTTTTCAGGCCGATCTTCTTTGGCTGTCCATGTCTATGGCGCCAAAATCCTCTTCGCTAAATTCTGAGGCTCACTGGCCTCGCCAAAGTGGATGCAGTCGCAGAATATGTCACTTGGAAGCCTTGGATGGAGGCGCTTCCAGGGGCTGGGGCCCGACCCAAGGTCCAGTACTTGGTGGAGGCTGAGTGCCGTTTCCTGCTGTTTGCACATCACCAAGCGGTGGCTCGGACGCGACCTAATGCCGAAGCTTGAACTGGCTCAACGGTGAATCACATGGGCCCCTCCAAACTGCAGGGTTGTCGGAGGCGTGGGGCGGAGGTTAGACTTCCAAGTGGGTGAGCGGTTGGTTGGCCAAAGGAGGAAAGTACGAGCACCCTGTCCTGCCTCCTGCGCTGCTGACGCCTTGGCTTGTCTACCGTGTACACCGGCTGCAGGTCGCCCGATTTTGCTGTTTACGATTTCTGTTTTCCGCCTCAACTTCTTTGTATCTAGTCGTGTTCCCCTCGACACCTCTGCTTCTTTAGCACAACATGTCCGGGATAAACGGCCGTGCATGGATACAGTCAACAGAGCCCGATGAGCTCTGAGGTGATGGACACCTTACAGCAGAAGCTCGAGAAGTTGAAAGCAGGATTTATCCGCACCTGGGGCTATCGAAGATCTTATGGGGCCCAGAGCGGGTTTATATATGTCTATAATATACACACACACATAATTACATATGTACATACATGTATATTTGTATTTATACTTGCTTATATACCGCATTCTTCTTTATTGCATGCATGCATACATGCATACACGCTGTATTGTTATGATATCAGAATCTACGGCGTTATATTGTATTTTGTTAGATGATATTGCGTTGAATCATAAGGTTCATTGTTAATTTTACATACTGTATCTTGTAATGTATATTGTGTTATTTGTGTTCGTAGGTATTATTGCATATCGCATTATTTGTTTAAAACGACGTGTTGTTTTGTTCTGTTCCATTGTTCCCTACCCTCGGTGTGGGGTTGTGAGATGTTAAGGTCAGCTATTACTCCCGCCCGCTCCT